TATATGTATAATAATATATATTATATATTATATATNTATACTATATATATATATATATATATATATCTTTATATATAAATATATATATGTGTGTGTGTGTGTGTATGTCGATATCGATGTCGATATCTATGATTTCTATTTCTGTTTTATATATATGTGTGTGTGTGTGTGTGTGTGTGTCGATGTCGATGTCGATGTCTATGATTTCTATTTCTGTTTTATATATATATGTGTGTGTGTGTGTTTGTATGTTTGTATGTTTGTATGTATGTATGTATGTATGTATGTATGTATGAATGTATGTATGTATGTATGTATGTATATATAATATATATATATAAGTATGTATATATACTATACAGTATGTACATTGACATTCGAACAAACCATCTCCTACACTTACCTATGACACGTGTGCCATCCGTGTCCAGATTATTTGCACGCAATTCCGTTCGCAACTGTTTTACGAGCGTGTGTGTGAGCACCTGGGTCTGCAAATTATAAACCTTCATAGGTGGATGTGAAGACACAAGCACTTGTTGTTCTTCCCCCTTCCGACTATACCCTAAACGTACACCCTGGAGTGCTACATGTGACTCGGTCACGTGTCTATTTCTAGTTAGGTCCCGGCTTGCCTGGGCCTCGGCTGAACGTGCAGTTGAACGTGCAGCCTTACGAGTGGCTTGTTTGACATCAGCCGCTGCTGCGGTGGCTGATGCGTAACGTACGGTCACATTTCCAAGTGTAGTAGTCTTAGCTATCCTTGTTGCTGTAGCGCTCTTTATGTATGGTAACGCACATTTTGTCGAAGCCTTAGCCATGCTTGCCCCTCGGGCGATTAGTGTGTGTGTCCCCATAGTGAAGCGTTTGTATTTATAACACAGAAGTGTGAGGACTGTAGACCGGCTCACCCAATCGTAGCCTACAGCTGTATGCGCATAGGTTTAGGTTGGCCGTCTGGGTGCAAGTGTCCGATACGTCAATACGCCTTGCTACATACGACTTACACAGATAGAACTAGTGTACATATAGGCAGATGGCTGTATTTACATACGTACAGTTGCACGGACTAAAGTGGAAGTTGAAGTTGCCGCGCATTTCTTGTTGTCTTGTGGTGTGTTTCTCTCAAAGACTCTCAGTCACAGTGTTTCACCTGAACCACACGAGGTGTTATGAGACCCTGTCCTCTGGAAAAAAGGACAGGTGCACCATACGGTGTCATAACAAATATACATGACACAGAAGTAGTTGACATCAAAATGACAAGTACATGAATACAATATGCAATTCACTCTTCGTATGGTTTGTGTGAATATGTATTTATTATAATACATATCCACAATGCCGCATCATATAGTTCAGATACAGTCAAACCTTGTACATAGAGAGTACTATCTCTGGGACTACTTCAGATACCATGTCAGGCGAAAGAGGTTCGAAAACGCCCGCCGGCAAACTAAGGGCTTTGCTGGCGGATGCTGAGAAGAATAAGAAGGCCATGGGAATGCCCTGCTGTTTCGATGCATTGAGCGCTGGGTTGATCGAGCGCGAGGGGTTCGAGGCAAGTCTGGTGCTCAACTACATACGAATCTTACCCTGAAATGACTAATCTACACTAGTTTGGTAATGAACGGTATCATTTATCGTGATTGTTTTTCGTATAGTTGTTTGAGTTTAACGGTAGTCCGAACATGGTCAAGGTTTAGAGGTGCCTGGATATCGATGATTTAGTGGCGGAAGTTAAGTTATTTGTGTGTGTGGCAGAGTCGTGTAATTTGTTTGCCGAGGCCCATCACCAGTGCACTGCTTATATCAGAGTACGGTATTGCGTTATTAAACATTGACAATACTGTGTAGCGGACTTGTGTAGTAGGTAATATATATGTATGTTGTCACTTTTGCGTCTTCACATATGTTCGCCAGAACACGCGCATCGCACAATTATTGGTCATTTAAACGTGTGCATACTGCCTACCTTGTACATTCCGTATACCTATCTCTCCTAATACATTATTTTTGTTTTATCACTGCGGGTTACCATTTCATAACCCTGTTGATAGATCTCTAGAATTTGAACTTCACCTTCCGGTAGGCAATGCAGACCCCAAGTTGCGGTGTCTGATTTCGACTTGATTGAACACTACCAGCACACATACGTAAGAACTATCATAGTTTCTCTGTTGAGAAGGGGGAGGGGGGGTGGGGGTATTTAATTAGATATAGAACAAATTAAGCTCTAGGCTTTACCGGTCTCATCAGAAACCCCGTACTATGACGATGAGTCTTCGTGCATCGATCTCTGACCATACAGCGTATATACACTCGTTTACCGCTACATATCTTGACCTATGACAGCCTTCCACAATGATCGATGTGCAGTCGAGATACTTAGTAAACAACAGTGTTATTAGACTCTGTTCTAACAAAGCTCCACGCGATTTCACTAATAAATGTATTCTGCGCAGTTAACTTTCATGAGCGGTTTTGGTGTTAGCGCCTCTCTACTAGGGCTTCCCGATACACAACAGGTGAGAAAAAAACCCTACTTTTCTACTGAAATACATTCCCTTGTCACTGAAATTCATGTTCAATGCGATAAACAGTTACGTATATTTAGTCAGGCGCTTACGTTTGGTGCATATTTGCCACTCATCTGCTACAATGTATTCCCTTGTCAGTGCACTTTATTTTTGTGATAAATACTTATACATGTTCAGTGCGATGAATAGTATGTATGTTTATTCAAGCGCTTACCTTTTGTGTATGATTTCCACTCACTTGGTGTATTATATTCTCTTGTCAGTGCACTTTATTTTCAATGTGATAAATACTTAAACATGTTCAATGTGACGAATAGTATGTATGTTTATTCAAGCGTTTACCTTTTGTGTATGATTTCCACTCACTTGGTGTCTTATATTCTCTTTTCAGTGCACTTTACTTTCAATGTGATAAATAATTATCCATGTTCATTGCGATAAACAGTTACGTATATTTATTCAGGCGCTTACGTTTGCTTCATATTTGCCACTCATCTGCTGCAATGTATTCCCATGTCAGTGCACTTTATTTTCAATGTGCTAAATACTTATACATGTTCAATGCGATGAATAGTATATATGTTTATTCAAGCTCTTATCTTTTGTGTATGATTTTCACTCACTTGGTGTATTATATTCTCCTGTCAGTGCACTTTACTTTCAATATGATAAAAAATTATACATGTTCATTGCTATATATAAATATATATATATATATATATAATTATTCGACCGCTCACCCATAGCCTACTATTGTCTCTTGTATAAGGCTATGGCTCACCTTTGGTATATGAATAGTACTATTCTGTTGACCAAATCTATTTTCTCATCATGTTGCGTGATCCTATTTCAAGGTTATTGCACGTATCGGGCGTAGTGTATATGATCTCAATCCATTCAATTAACCTTTTCTTAGATCTCAATGAATGAAATGGTCACCACCGGTACTAACATATGCAGCCGAGTCAAAATTCCAGTCATCGGAGATGGCGATACTGTATGTAAATACATATTCGTTGCTGTGCACAACATTTCTGTGGATTTGAAGCGTACACCTGTATTGCTTAAGATTGGGGACAACAGTTTATTTAATCGTCATGCCTTCAAATTGACTACATCTCACTGTAATCAACCCCGTACTGCTGTGTATCACATTAATGTACTTCATACTACACTTCCTCGGATTGATAGCGTGCCCGATTGTACTTTCTTGGATAAACATAGGGCTACGGCAATGCAATCAATGTCAAGAGGACGATACGGGCGTACGCACAGGCAGGATTCGCAGGGATCATGCTAGAGGACCAGGTAACCCCTCTCAGATGTGTAGCGACTGTGGTGTGCTATCGTTCGAACTACTGCCCTCGAACATGTGTTGCTGGCCTCATCTGTTTATTAGCCGTGTCCTAATAAATGTCACTTGCTGATGTACGAGTCTTGTATGAAACCTGGGCTCATTCAACGGTATGAACCCTGGGCTCATTCAACCGTGTGAACCCTGGGCTCATTCAACGGTATGAACCCTGGGCTCATTCAACCGTATGAAACCTGGGCTCATGCAACCGTATGAACCCTGGGCTCATTCATCCGTATGAACCCTGGGCTCATTCAACCGTATGAACCCTGGGCTCATTCAACCGTATGAACCCTGGGCTCATTCAACCGTATGGACCCTGGGCTCATTCAACGGTTTCAGTGAACGGCTTGTGGCACCAGTAACGCGTGCACTTTCTCATATTGACACAAACGCGCAGGTCTCCCCTAAACGATGCGGACATACCAAGGGAAAGTCAGTCGTCTCCAGAGAAGAGGCTGTGCTGCGTATCAAGGCCGCTTGTGATGCAGTATGTTAAACGGAC